AGTTCAATAATGGACGAAAGGGAGCGATATAGTCGAGGCTTCTTAATAGGAATTAAAGCTGGGGGAGTCTATGTATGGGCGATACGAAACAGAAATTGGACGAACGAGGAACTATCGTGAAATCTGATGTATCCGAAGGAAGTTAAGGGGACAAAGAAATCGGGATGAGATAAAGAGAACGGTCTGATTTTTTTTATTTTGGAAGCAGAATTGTGCCGTGTTAATAGAATTTTCGAACTGATCTTAATGACCTGTGTGTTTGGACTACGACGACAATAAACTTTTGCCAAAGGCTTTAAAGTTTTATTCGCAAAATTTGTCTGCCGGAGTTGTCGAAAAATTAATAAAAAACGTTTAATTGGAGTAAAACGAAAGCGGAACAGCTTCGTTAATCTAATTTATGAAACAGCACGAATTGCTTTTTTGAGCGTTTTCTAAACGACGCAAAAATGCGAGGAAGCAATAACGCTTTGTCTTGTAATTAAAACTCCATATCACTGTTACAAATTATCAACATTCTTTGCTTTGTAGACAGCCATATTCTATGAAATACAAAGCAATTACGGCGACCGTATGAAGATAATTAAAAAAGTGCTTTTACTTCGCAATACGTTCGACTAATTAAAAACCTTTCTTGAAAAGTACACTAATGAAACTTTAATTATACCCTGGTTCCAAATGAAAAATTGCTATCGACCTGTGAGCAAACTTTTCGGAACAATGAATAAAGTTTAGCTTTATGAAGAATAAAATGAGCATTAATCTGAGCGTACAGGTGATTATCTCTTAAAAGAAAAAATATGGGGAGTCGAAAGTTTGACGAGTTTTCTTTATGCAGAGTTGAAACGATGCCAAACCGCGGTTTCGTGTTTTCTAATTACTAGAAACAGAAAATAAGGAAAAAATGGGCTTGTTATTCGAATTTAAATTACATTCGTAATTATGAACGTCAGCTTTGTACGTGGAGTAAACAAGAAACTGTAAACTCGTTTGTATTTTTTGCTGTACGTGTCTGGATGTCAAAAGATAAAAGGAGGAGTAATAACTATTTTATGTTGATGTTATGTACTTACGTTCAAGCGAATTATGTCACATAAAATGCCAGAAAATAATTTAAATCCTGTAAAAATTCGTTCTCACATAAATGGTGTCGTTACTTTGATAAAAAAGCACAAGTATTTCCACAATAAATCAATGAGATCCTTACGAGATGGTAATTTTTTGCTAGCTAGGGTAAAACATGGAATAATGGGACACTGTACGGCTGTTGGAAATTTGTATCATATATTATTGTATTGCAAGAAGTTCTTGATGCATTTCGTTCACCGTGCTAGTGATGACACCACCAGATTATCTATATTATTGTACGCTGATGTGTTAAATCTGTGTTCTCGTCCCATAAGTTGTTCTATTTCATTTATTCAAGTCAGAAGACAGTCTTTCAACAGTAGAACACGCTAAGAAAATGTTATATAAGGAAACATTTTTAAAATTATACCTTTGCTAGAAAGGTTTATTAAAAATTTATATGGATCTCAAACCGAAAGAAATAATATTGAAATGTTATGGGTAATTTATCTTCTTCGCAAAATTCTCCATAAGAGAAATGAATGTTACGTTTTGTCAGCGGCTGAAAGGAAAGCTAGCAAGAGATAATAGTATAACAGGTAGAGAATCAACCTCATCATATACCGAGTGGGTGTCGGAGATTTACCCAATGCAAATACATACACCGGTCACGGCCTATACAGATCTTCTACACCTCTCTTAGCGGATGCTATTGGAAATACTACGACGGTTGGAACTCAAATAGTAAAAGGTACAAATATTGTCGAGAAAACTGTTAAGGCACTTTCTAAACATGTATTTTTTCTAGTTCATATATATTCCTCCAGTTGATTTAATAACTGTGAAAACGCATCATTCGCTGTGAACATTAGTAAATACACTGGTGAATTTCTGATATTATTCCAATAAGAGGAATCAGTGAAAACTGCTCAGCATTGATTACCCCTATAACATAACACTAAATAGTCGAAACGTTTCGCCAACCACGCTGACATTTTCAAGACAGTACTAACTTAAAGTGGATTGCCATTTATATCCTGTATACTTTACTTCACCTACTCTCCCCCTTCTGTGCCTCCACAAGAGCGTAGACTGCAGAGTGTCGAGTTTATGCATTACATATTTTTTTATATTTCTAGATTCTTGTGAATATGTCTATAATTTGACAGTTACTGGCAGATTTAACTAATTTTAAACAATTTACGTCTATTCTATGGTCATTAGATTAAATTCTTCAATCATTTCAATTATTGACGCGGTTGCAGTTTTAGATTTAATGGGGTAAGAGATGCCAGAAACACAGAAAACAAAAAAGGCAAAAACAAATTCAACGACTCTTACAAAAACTAAATATCTGAAAGGGCAAAATTGTGCATCTAAAGGGTTCTAAAATACTGTCTTGACATTGTGGCATGAAAACTGCACAATCTGTTACTTTAGGAAAAAGTTGATAACCATGGCATAACGAATTCTGGCAAAATGTAATGCAATACCATCGTAATAAGGTGGTTCTGAAAAATGTAGAGACTCAAAGTGGTTAGCACTCAACAGAAACAGTGAAAATATTCCTTCGGTGAGAAAACTAAGTAAAAAAAAAAACAAACACAGCCAAAAGATTATTTTTGACAAATTACGAATTTTTATTGGAGTTATAGCGACAGCCGAGGTTGGTTTAACAAGTTTTTAGTAATACGTACATGAGTTGTCGTTAAAAAATAAACAGCAAATAAATTTCTGAAATTTTGGGAAAATGTTAATACAGATTTATTTATCACACAACTGTTATCAGGTGATTTTTTTTAATTATTTGCTCTAGCTACCCACGATGCTTATTATGTTAGCAGTGAAACCTGTTGTGTAACTTGAACTTGAATGGTGTATTTTGGGTTGTCTAAATATCCAGCGTCATTTCGAAAACCTTACTGAAAGTTGATGTAAAAATCATACAAAATCTTTTATTTATAACAATTTGAATCATGAATATCACAACTACTTTACAATAACTGCTGGAAATGTTGACCTTCAGCCTCTAGACACAAACTGACTCTTCGTTTCATATTTTCGAATAGTCAGACAAGAACTTCTTCTCGAATTCGGGTTTTTAAATTGTCGATCGTATGCACCGGTTGTTTGAAAATAATCTGTTTCAATATCGGGAACACGAAATATTCCAAAGGCGTCAAATCTGGTGATCGAAATGAGTAGATCTGGTCATTGTGGTAACTAAGCGGTCATCATAAAATCAAGAAATTTAGTCATTTTTGCTGTATGAGCTGTTGCTGCGTCATGTTGAAAAAAGCCATTCTGTAGTTCCTGGCAAAGTCGAGTTGGTTAATTAATTCCTGAATGTAACCATGCAAACGTCTCCTTCAGACAGCAACACATACATTAATGTTTTTTGCATCTAGAGGTATTTCTTGAAACTAATGAGGAAACCAAGTTTCATTACTAAAGAAAGACTACATCAAGAAAATTATTGTCCATCGTTTGATCAAACTAATCGCAAAATTGCAGTCGTTTTGTATTATACCCTGACTTGGTCAGGGACCTGTACTTTGTTCTTAACTGTCATGTCAGGAATAAAATAAAATTTTTTCGCATTTTGTAAAACGTATTTACTTTTTCTATTTCCTTGGCAGAATTTTGTACTTAATTTAAGCCATTCTTCGAACAATTGAACTGTCACCCATTCTTTAAAATTAATAAAATTTGGTCTTACTGCTGTCATTCGTGTGGTTACTAATAACTTAGGCGAAACATTTTGTTTTCTTTCTTGTTCATTTATGTTTATATTTTCTGTACACACTTTTTGAGGAAAACTCCATAATTGAAATACATAACCACTAGATGATTTTAGTTTAAAACACAAAATTTTTTCCAATTGTTAAGCGATTTGCTTTAAAGCTGACCTGATTTAAAAGATTAAAAAATTTTGCTGTTTTCTGTCAAAAAATTCTAACTGATAAATTTTGTTCTTTTTGTATCACAAACCATTCTCTCATTGCTCATTCAAGCTTTGAAATGTCCTCGTTTTTAATTCTTTGCTATTAAATTCAACACAAGGGGTTTCCATTTGTTGGATGTGATATGAAACTGTTTTCAACATTTTCATTACTTTGTAGTTATTTGTTTCTAACCTTTTAACATGACCTAACCTGACCTAAGTTAACCTAACCTGTACTTTAGACCCACTACTTGTATTTCAAATTTTACCAGTAATTAGATTGTAAATCCGTCAACCAACTCACAAAAATAACAATTTTTATATCTACCTACTTAATTATAATATAAAATAACAATAAAGCTGATTTTCATAAATTTAACTTGTGTTACGAGATCATGAAAGATCTAAATAGTAGAAATTACTAGGCAATGAAGCTCGCCTGCGTTACATTCAAACAGCCCACACTGCGCCATCTCTGGTAAAAAAGTTAGTTGCGCCAGAATTTAGAATACTTGTCGATTCAACGTAATTCCATTAACCTACAATTTTATAGATTAACTTTCAAACAGTTCGTTTAAATTCTCTGAAATTCTAAGAGCACATCACAACCACTACCTGTGATTTAATCTAACTAACCTTTACTTTTGTCTTGTAGTCAACTACCAAACTTTTCACAAAAAATTGACACAGATACTGAAAGAACGAGGGAAGTTCCATTACGTGAATAACCCGCCAGATACTTTTTTCCTCCTGGTTGCAAGCCGAAAATCACCTCCGCGAGCATCCGCGAACAATGAGCAGTTGCAAACGACCTTTTTCGAGTAATCCTGGAGTTGACGGAGGCGGGTCGACCTCTCCTTAGAATCTGTTCATTTTCTTGGTCTATTGTTTATGAATCTGAGACAGAACACACAACAGTCTATCAATGATTTATATATCTCCGGGAGCAGTTTTTGCTGTCAGTGTTGACAATGGCGTATTGTTTCAGACCCCCCGCAAGTGTCGCTCCATTTGGGGAGTACGCTCAATGCTGATGACATCAAGGAAGGAGACGACGTCTACTTTGAGTGTCGAGTTACAGCCAACCCCCAGTGGAGAAAACTCACTTGGTTGCATAACGTAAGTGTAAACAAAGCGATGCACCTGCGCTTTTGTTTTGATTAATTGCGAGCTCTAGATGGATGTTTCTGAATCTCATTAACGCGAGATAATTACCTCGGAGAAGAGAGATTCCGAGGAAATTCTTTTGTTACGGGAACACAAAGTAGACTTTGTTTTAATGATTCCGGAAATGAGGAAAATTGATGCGGATTTTATAGCCTGCAGAATAATAAATAAAAAAGATCTACCGTGATATAACGGAAGCTGTATTCTGATATCGGGACATTCTCAAACACAGTTGATGTTTTTTTTTGAAATCTATAATTATTTCAGGTTTTTCAATTATTCTCTTGTTATTACCAAAGTTACTGGGTGGTAATTATTAACCCATTTACGAAGACATCACAAAGATGTTATTATCCCAGTGACACCAATAATTTTAAAACATTCTCGATACAATTGAACGCTGTCATTTAGTCGATCAAGTAATTTGTTTAAATTTTCGGGGAATAACGTGTTTGCTTTAGTATTGGTGTTAATATTTTTCTTGACACTTTCACTGAATCTGCAATTTCTTTTTGTTGTATGATTCACGCCATTGCTTTTAGGTACGTTTTCATTTCTCCTGTAGTCTAGTAAAGACATTACATTTTCTCAAACATTAGTAAGTTTATAATTAAAAGACTTACAAAACACATTTTTAATTTCAATCACTCAGGAGTTACCATACTAAATAGTCCGACTTTAATACGCAATTAACCAGTCAACATCTTTGAAAAATGTCTTCAAATTTCTAATAATTCATTGAAATCAGTATATTTTGTATATTCTTCTAGTAATATTTAAATTTTTTTAATTTCATTTAAGATTTGCCAACATTAACATTATTTTTTTGTTAGAAACTTTTATTGATGAAACTTTAAGATATAATGTACTCTCTGAAACCCAAAATTTTATTTTGATTTGTTTTTGGCGTTTTAATATTACACGAAAATACGCATTTCCCATATCCATCTACCTAGTGTCTGTACATCCTTCGTCTGCCTGTTAGGGACTTCATTCTCGTACTATAACAATTAAAACTACCGAACCGGCTACTTTGACTTATGTGTTTTAAAATTATCTCGTAGATAATTTTAACCATGAGAGTTTGTCTTCAAAATTAAGTGACAGAGTTCTAGGGAGCTTTATCTTTGCCGTTAAAAATTGATGACCTCATTTCAAAAATTAAATAACAAATACTTTATAAAATAGCAAAAAGTGATATTGCTTATACTTAGTTCAAAAACATCGAAAAGCTATTTTTAAATTACATTGAATTTATCAGATTAGTTCTTGCCGCCCCTACCCTTTCCAAAAATCGACGTCATTTCAAGTCGTACATCTTTAGATTGCTCCAAAAAATATTAATACATGAAAAGGTCGTCCAGTTTTCCTGAATTTCTGAAAACACAGTCACGTTATAAATAATTAGTGCTACATTGTATACATCAAAATTGATGTGTTTATTACTGCCAGAAATTTGTTTACGTCCTATTAAAATAGTATTCAATAAAGCTCTCATAAATTCGTCATAACATCATAACAAACAATGCCGTATTTTGTATATTTTCAAAGTGCGGAACTCATTGATTTTACAGATTTTTAATTTAGGACAAATTTTGATAGAACTAAAGTTGCTGAAAGCCTTAGTTCAAGATATAACATTTATTCAGAGTAATGTATAAAAAACTAAAAAAGTAAGACACCAAAAATGATATTTTAAAGGAAAACGGGCATTTCTACACTTTGAACCCCCAATGCTTTTTGTTTGAGTATCTTTTTTTATATGCGCAAGGAATTTAAGGGTCCACAGTGTTTTGTTTTTGAAAGGATTGGAAAGACTCACGAACACCACTGACGGATAGATTAATAGAGTTTCCGTCCCTAATGTTCGTAAGTAAACTCGTCGGAATCCTTTTACGTCTAGTGCGACGTTTCACTTGTGTGTTGTTCTCAAATTATTTCGACTCTAAATAGAGTTTGAACTATACGTAACATACCTTATTTCGCCATAAAGGAAATGATACACAATTTTCAACAGTAGGATTTCAAATTATGAAACACCTCTAACACTACAACTATTTTACATCAAAAAGGGAATTCTATACAAACCTAGAATTTTTAACTTCGAAAAAGTATTTAACTTATAATTGACAGACAGTAATAAAGAAAAAGGAAAGAAAATGAGATTAATAGATTTTGCTTTTACCATCTAAATTAAATTTTAAATAGAGTGATATATTAAAGAAATTTTAATATTTATATAACAAATAATTTCTTGACATTATATTATATTAACCTTCGCAATTATTTAGATTTAAGGTATTGTATGTAAGGTAACATTCAAATTTATGGAAGCCATTAGAAGAAAATAGTACAATTTAATTGAAAGAGTATTTGATGATGCCACATCGTTGCCACAGCAACCAATATAAGCCGTTTAATCGGTGGAAAATAAAGCTCTTAATATGTCCTGTGGAGTTACGTTTGCCTCTTATCAGTGTCCTTACTCATAAAGATTCTATTGAGTTTTCTGCGCTACTTTATCACCACGATTCAATTTGCGGCTGGTTTGGAAAAAACGCCACATAAAACAGATGAACACTACCGCCCTCTATAAGATCCATTTAACGTGAGATTATAAAAAATTGCTGTATATTTAAATATATAACAACTAGATGTTAAGAAACCAACATTTGTTCGGATTCTCATTATATTTTAAAATTGCGCTAGTGCCCTAAAATATGACGAACTGGCTCACGTTGCCACCGAATCTCGTGTTATTTACCTTTATGTACCACACTATAGATAAAACTCCATAAAATTTTTACTCGGATACTTTGCATACACGACAGGAAGTTTACATTTTACGTACTTTGTATTAGAACCGTCTCCTCTCGACGGAGTAGACCCGAAGCAAGAATTCGCTATAAACGAGACGAGAAACGACAGATAATGCACATAAAACACGTGACGTTCCTTTCACGATTGATCCAATCACGATGGCACAGGAAAATGCTGCAGAAATAATCTGTTATACGTGCAGATGTTTGTTGTCATATTGCTACCACAGAAGCTAACTCGTATTGACGGTTCTGTCAGTTTGCAGGAAAAGGAATGGCTTTTGGCCTGACTTGTGCTTTAACTGCCGAAAGGTCGAAGATGAAACATATTGACATCAGATGCTCTTGACGTTTTAAAACAGCTTACAACATAGTTCCCGTTATTTTTATAGCTTGTTCCCTCTTGTTTGTCTGAAGAAATATAGCATTTCGAAAGTAATTTGCTTTGATAAGCTGAATTTTTATATCATACATAACGAATATTGATTTTGCTTTTATTAAAAATGTGGAACCTAGCAGATGCTCTTTATTAAATTTCCAAGTTCCGGGAAGATGTGTAGGCCACGGTGAGCCGATAATATTTTCCAAATGTGTTTTTCCACCGATGGCCACTATTTTATGCTAACTTTAAAAATTTATATTTTGTTGCCCGACACTGACACATTATTTGTAACAGTTTCGTACGGAAAATGTTTATCAACAATTAATTATAAAATATTTATTATGTGATGTTATTAAAATTTTCTAAAAATAACACACTCCTACGCTTGCAGTTTATGAATCCGTATTGATTAGTTACCCTAGACATCCAGATTCTTAAAAAAAAAACGAAACAAAATTGCATAACAACATTTTATAATTTCATAAAGTTATCTGTGCAGTAACTTTATTTTAACTTAGGAAGATTTTCATGAAATAAAATAAATTCGCAAAATCAAATTTTATCATTTTTCAAAAAAGCTGTATAAATGTTGTATTGTACTTCAGGAGCGAGAAATGTTTTATTCAAATGAACTTAGACAATTTTTTTAAATATCGAATTATAAATTTTAACCATGTAAATTTCGCGCTGTTTTAACCATTAATTATGTTCTCTTTGTTAACCAATATTAATGACGCTCGATGTTTGCATTTTGCAAACTATTGCCTTCGATTTTCTCATCTTTTCATGTTTTAGCCAATAAAATTCTGTTCGAAGTTACATTGTTAAGCTTTCACAGAACGCTAACAATGCAGTATAACCAAAGTTCTCTTTCAAAGAGAAATCCAATCATGGCGAACTGTAAAAGTACACAGAACTAAAACACAAACTTTAAGTATTATGTATTTTTCTGGTATTTTATTATTTTATACAAACTATAATCAACAAATTAAAAACTTGTTTTTTAATTGTCCGCACAATTTTTAACTCAAAGTAAAATGTTCATAAAATGTATTATTTTTTTTCTGTTTTGTTCATTTACATTTTTTATTTTATAAATATAGCTTATATCGTCAGTAAAATCCATACTTCGAAATTACATTTCCCACTTTTTTTATTTTACGCCACAATAATTTTCCTGGGTTTACTGTTAAGTCTATTTTAATCAAAACGAATCCGTATTTCTCTAATCCTCGTTAACTCCCGCTGGAACTCCATTGTGAGTACACCTAGAATACGTCAATTCTGAGTGAGTTTGAAGAGAAAGCAGCAACTAGTACAAAAGATAAACAAAGTAAATTAACATGCATTAGAAAATTGGGGGCGGTGCACGTATATGGCATACGAAACGTTTATGAAGATATCGATTGCTGGAGGCGTAAACATGTTTCACGATTATCTCTCACTGAACAAGCATATGCGTTATACGAAAGCCCCGCAGGGTGCTCAAAGACAAACAAGAGCACAACAAAGCATCACATCCAATGGATAGAGATGACAAACAGCGACAACCGTCAAGATTAGTAGCTGTTTTTACACCATTCAAATGAAGAATGATGTCGCAGCAGGCGCAGATTATGGGATTCCTCGACATTTACCCAATAAATAAAAACGAAATGTCGACGAAAAAAGGACTAGAGTTTAAACTATTTTTAAAAGGGATGTAAAATATTACACATTGCGGTTTTTATTTCTTTTGTTTTTGCATAATT